ACATGCACCTACAGCGGGTCAATTAGTTTTTCAAATGTTACCTTTAAGTTAATTTTATAGTCTTTTGATATTAATAATGCTAATGTTTTTATATTTTTCTAGTTTTGATTTAAGTTTGCTTGTTTAGCGTCGTCACACTTGCTAGGTGACATGATGTAAGGACGAGACGCTAGACCGTCCAAATTCACAGACTCTTTTTTTCCGGTCTTCCTGGTCTACCAAGGACCCGGCCCACCTCGATCGGGTAGTCTGGGTCCTCCGGAGGACCCGGCTTGTCGTTTTGGACAAGGCGAAAGCGGCTGACGAAGCTCCGTGAAGCTGGTCAACATCGAGTAGGAGCGCGTCCAGCTCCACAGTCATGATGTCCACCTTATACAGTCGTCCATCGAGGTATTTACACCATATAAGTAAATTTAATACTGTTATTACTCAGAATGTCATGCAGTATAGTCTGCTTCCTGCTTTTGGAGCGGTCTCTGGTCCGCTTAGTGTTCACACATGCAATCGAACCGCACCAGAGTTCATTTCAATCGAACCGAGACCTAGGTTTTCAGGCAGACCAGAGTTCGCATTTTTTGGTCCGAATCAGAGTTCGATTACGTGTTCACACCTCCACAAACGAACCGGACTTTCCAGGCAAACAAACTAGATTTAGATTAAATCGGACCAAACAGTGCAGGTGTGAACACAACCGTAAATGCACTTTCTATTGATATTGATCATGTGTCTATTGTGGTAAATATTATTGTTTAATTACTTCTTTATACCACCAATTGCAACCCAATAATATTGCTCAGAGGGAAATCAATTACCTTTACTTGTTATTGCTTTCATTTCAAGTGACCTGCAAGTTCTATATATCTATATATCTATCTATTTATCCATGTATTTATCTACCCATCTATCTACTCATCTACCCTTTCAGGTAAATTACAATCGGCTTCATTTACTGGAAGAGGCTGAGTTGTTTACACAGGATAATGACTTGGCTTGGCTAATGAAAATTTAGTTAAGCCTGATTAAATAATCAATCAGGCGGGCCGTAGCCCCGCCCCATCCTCAACAGGCGTGTATGCGCGCCACCTGCACTTCAGCGTCACATGAGCAGCGTTTCCTCCTCTGTGTGTGTGTGTGTGTGCGCGCGCACGCACTATGAGGTGAGCGATAACTCCAAAAAAAGAAAAAAAACCCTCTTCTTCCAAAACACTGCTGTAAGTAGTCGCGGATGGGAACACCTTGTCAACTCAACTGGTGAGAACGAGACGCTGAACCCGGTGTGATTAAGTTTGAATGGAGACGCGGCCGCGTGCAGCAGATGGTGCGCGCGTGAGAACAAGTCCGATTATGGAAATCCTCGGCCTGTAGCGTTTGGAGAATAATGGGCGCAGGGGAGACACGCCGGTCGAGTTTAAGGCTACAGTAAGCTGTTGGTTAATTAACTTTATTTGGCTGCAGGCCAGCTTCTACATGTATTGTACACCTTCGTTGTTTTAGGCAGCTCTAATTTTATTCAACCAGAACCTAAATTATTAAACTGCTTGATGAAAAGGCCTAACTGCTCAGCAGCGTCAGCAGAAGCAGTTTTAATTGTAGTGTTATAGAAAATACTTGGGGGAAAAAATAGGGCTAAATTTCACCAAAGATCAGTACAGAATGAGTGGATGTAAATATAAATGAAATTTCTGAGTGAAGGAGGCAGCATCCTCTCACACTATGTATATCTGACACAGTTGTAAAGTAACTAAGTACAAATACTTCTTTACTGTACTTAAGTACAATTTTTGGGTATCTGTACTTTACTTGAGTAATTATTTTTCAGCCTACTATTTACTTCTACTTCTTACATTTTCACACAATTATCTGTACTTTCTACTTCTTACATTTTTAAAAAGGCAAGAAGTCGAAAATCATTACTTTTATTTCATTTTTGCTTGCTTTTATTCCAGCTTGTTATTGTAAAAAATAAATACTATCCATATAAACTGTGCCTCATAGACGGAGTGAATTTAATTGTGATTGAATGAGAAGTATAAATATATAAAAATCTGATACCGTATTAGTTTGTACACAAACAAATCGTGTCACACTCCAGCAGGACATAATCATTAAAATAAAAGGACTGTACTTAAGAAGTATTTGTATTTCATACACACACACACACACACACACACACACACACATATATAT